GAAAGAATTTTTACGGAAAATTAACTAACGACCGGAGGCGTAACAAATTGGTGTCAGAAGTGGGATAGAAAATAAAAAAAAAAGAAGATGGAAACGAGAGGTGGCAAATCAAACTACAGCTTAGCAGATTTGATGGCAGCAATACAAGAACAGCAAAAGAAACAAGAAGAACGAGAAAAGAAACAAGAAGAGAGATTACAGCAGTTGTTGAAGGAAAAAGAAAAGAAACAAGAAGAGAGATTACAGCAGTTGTTGAAGGAAAAAGAAAAGAAACAAGAAGAGAGATTACAGCAGTTGTTGAAGGAAAAAGAAAAGAAACAAGAAGAACAAGAAAAGAAACAAGAAGAGAGACAACAGCAGTGGCAGCTCGAACAGCAAAATAAACAAGAGAGACTACAGCAGTGGCAACTGGAACAAGAAAGGAAACAGGAAGAAACTATCCAACAGTTGAAAGAAAGCCAGAGTACACAAATGGAAAGATTAGTAAATTTCAAAGAGAATTAAATACATTAAAGGACGATTTACTGTCTTTTACACAAGGAGGATACATTAACCAGACACTGGCCAGCCCCTTCCAGACTCCGCAGCTAAACCCTAATGCAAACATCTTCAGTCCTGTCAGAAGTCACATCCCGGATATGAATGTCAGCAATAGGGGTGATCTAGTACGAAGGAAGCCACAGGAATACGATGGGAAAGCACCGCGGGAAGCATATAGAGCACAATTTGAGCTACTGGCAGAGATGAATGGATGGACAGAGGAGCAGAAAGCAGTATATCTGGCAACGAGCTTGAAGGGACAACCACTGGAAATACTTGGACAGTTGTCAGCAGACGACATACACAACTATAGAGCACTGGTAGCGGCTCTAGAACTCAGGTACGGAACCCAAAATCAGTCAGAAGTCTACAGGGCTAGGTTTAGGACGAGAGTCCGTGCTAAAGGGGAGAGCCTGCAAGAGCTGGCACAGGACTTGGAAAGTATGGCACACAAGGCCTACCAAACTTCGCCACCCGATGTCCTCAAGTTGTTGCTGAGAGATCAGTTTGTAGACACCTTGGACAGTCCACAACTGAAGATAGAAGTAAAGCAAGCAAACCCCTCTACTAAGCAGGATGCAATGACCAGAGCTCTTGAATTTGAATTCTATGTTAAGTTCAGCACAGAGGTACCAAGGTTGGTACAGTCATCAGGATTCAAGGCCAGAAAAGGGCAGCTTCCAGCGAAGTTTGAGGGACTTTGCTGGCACTGTAATAAATCTGAGCATAAGAGAGCTCAATGCTGGCAACTTCAACACAGGGAAGATGCCACGGCAGGAAAGGCTGCTACCCAGAAAGGTTGTTGGAACTGTGGAGAGCAAGGACATATGAGGAGCCAGTGTAAGAAGAATACTACCAACAAGTCAGCCTCTGGGAGATCAGTAGTGGTTGGTGTTGAGAGACGCCCAGCAAACTCCATCGTGAAAGCCCCAACAGCTAAGTGTAAAATGGCAAGCACACATAGTATCTACGTGACAGGAAAGCTGGATGGCCAAAGG